GTCCGACCCCCAGCAACTGACTCGGGCCCCCAGACACACAGCGGCTGGACTGGACACAGCCCGCCCAGCCTGTGGGATGAGAAGATTGGACCCAGAGGAAGAAGAAGCCTTTATTTCCCAACACCCGAACATGACCGTGAGGCCTGGGAGTGAACCAGCCCCCCTCAAGGGTTCAGCCCTGCACAGTCGGGGGTCCACGCGTAGGGCAGGGATAACCATGGGGGCAGGAGGGGGGTCACCGCTGGCCCCTGCCCGCACCCGGACAAGGTGACAGGCGCTTTGCACCCCCCACGGGAGAGGCGGCAAGCAGGTGTGCGTGGGCATAGGGGTGCGCTGCAGGTGCTGCCGCTGCCTGCCCCTGGCCCTGTAAGTGGGGAAAGTATCATATGTGCTGAAAAAACATTGCACACTGAAAAAATATGCAAAAAAAGGATGCAAATAAGTCTTCTCATTTACTTTATATTGCCAATGAGTGAGTAAGAACAGGAAATGTTTCTTTATTTCGAGGCCACGTCATAAGAAAGTGCTGAAAGCAAGCCCCAAAGAGGGTGTTAAAACTTCATTAGAGCAACTTGGGTCCTGAACGCCACGTGCCCCCAGAGGTTTGGGGGGGCATGGCGAGCTCCCACAGGCAGTCACGGTGCTGTTGGTGGCAGGGCCTACACGTTGCCAATGACTTGGGTTTTGCACATGCTGCATCAATTCACTGCCTCAAAAACTACTGCACACTTTGAACACTTTTACTATCTTTTTGTACACTTTGGCTTTTACTTTTTAGTACTTTGCCTTTTTTTGTACACTTTGACTTGTTGTATGCTTTGACCTTTTTAAAAAAAAAATGTACACTTTGACTTTTTAAAATGTTTTTGTACACTTTGACCTCTGTTTTTAAAGATTTTTTTGTACACTTTGACCTTTTTTAAAAAAAAGCTGTACACTTTGGCTTTTCTTTTGTACACTTTGACTTTTTAAAATGTTTTCGTACTTTCTTTTAATTTTTTTTTTGTACTTTGACTTTTTTTGTACATTTTGACCTTTTATTTAAAAAAAAGTGTACACTTTGACTTTTTTGTACACTTTGACTTTTCTTGTTTTGTACACTGACTTTTTAAAATGTTTTCGTACGCCGACTTTTCAGATTTTTTGTACACTTTGACCTTTTTTTCAGATTTTTTTGTACACTTTTTTTTTTTTTTTTTTTTTAGATTTTTTTTGTACACTTTGACGGCTACGTGCACATCGTGCCCGCGTTGAAACCCTGGCACTGCCACGATCATGCCCCCGCCCCTGGCAGCACAGCCCGGCACGCACAGGGTTAAGAGGAACCCGCGCCCCGGACAGCCGTCAAGCACGCCGCTGTCGCAAAGCCCCACCCACTGCCGCAAAGCTCCCCTCTCTTCTCTCCCGGCTGAGCCGCCTATACGCGCTTTACGCTCCGGACGGGCCGTCCCCGCCCTCCCTCCGTTTGCGCCTGCGCCGAGCCCGGCCGCCGGAGACTCGCTATTCACTAAGGGCTTGGGCGCCGGCGGGGTGGCGCGAGCGAGCCGCCCTTCCGCCGAGGCTTACGCGGCTGGAGTAGAGGCGTCGCTCCGAGCCCAGCGCCTGGGTGGTGTGTGCGGGGGGAGGGGGAGCGGAGGCTTAAAGGGACAAGAGCGGCGGAGGCCGGAGGGAGGCTCCATGGCGAGGCTGGCGGGGGGCCCGGCCCCCGGCCCCCGCCCCTGAGGCGCGGCAGGAGGTAAACCCGTGGCTCCCGGGGGGCTGTGGTGGGGAAGGGGCTGCCCTGTTGCGGAGTGGGGGGCATCGTGCTGCAGGGGGGCAAGGCTGGAGGCCCCCCCAGGCCCCCCAGGGCTGCTCCGGGCAGGGAGCAGCCACCACAACGAGGGGACGTGGTGGAAACGTGGGCGGGATGCTGCTGGGCGGCGTTTCCCGGCACCTGGCTGGGGGACTCTCTCTTTTTCTCACCTAATTTTCTTTCTTCCAGCCCCCGGCGGGTGCCCGGCTCCCCCCCGAGCCCGTGTGTTTGCTTTGCGCTGAAAGACACCGACACGGGCGCACGCCCATGTCGGCCTGCGGTGCGGGGGAAGCAGGCGGACCGAGTCTTTTGTACAGTTTTACCCCCTCGCCCCGCCGGGGGGATTGGGGAGGGTCGATGTGGGGAGCAGAGGTTGCAAGCGGGGCTTTATCCTCGTACATGTGTATTTTCTCCTTTAAAGCAAAGCTGCGAGTGAGGCTGGATGGGGCTTGAGCCATAGAAAGAATAAAGGCGGCAGGGAGCCGCTGAACTTTGAATATTGCCTGAGCTGCGGAGAGGGGATTAAAAATAAGGACCGTGAATATTTGATCGTGATGGCGCTCGGTGCGGTGCTCGGCCCACCCGCGGCCTGCGGCTACCCGCGCTGACCCGCGGAGCAGGGTCTGGGGAGAATCCAGCCGCGGCCTCAAATCCAGTAGGGCGCCAAGCGGTGGAGGTCTGTGGGGAAAAAGGGTCTCTCGCTGGCAAACGTTTTCTCAGCTTGAGCGATGTGGGGACCGGCCACGTTCTGGGGAGCTCGGCTCGCTGTTCGTGCTCGTTTCAAACCAGGCTAGAAGCAGCATCTGGCAAGTTAGACACCGAGCGGAGGTAACTAGGAGCTGCAGGTGCACTGATTGTGGACGAGTGAATCGTTTGCACGAGTATGTTTGGAAGTTACCGCGTTTAAATAGCCCGTTGGTTTTCCTCTTTTACCGCAAGTGGCTGGATATCTGGAAACCGGCATGTCTGCTAGTGGGAGTGCCCAGCTAGGATGTCATACACGTGGTCTGCCCCTGATCACCAGGACAGAGATTTAAAAATCAGCCCTTATATAACAGCTTGAAGAAAGGTTTGGTGTTTGCCAACATGTCTGAAAGGGAATGACTCTAAATTAGGGCAGGAGGCCTCCACTGGGAGAGTGTGGGAAGGCCTCTCTTGTTCCTGTGAGGACTTTCTGTAGGCTTAAATGCCAGAAGTGACTTGTCAATGATTGTATTCACTGCCATTTCAGTTAGCAATGTTGATCTGTGAGGGCTTGATGAGTGCTCAGTACCTCTCAGGGTTGGGCCTGGCCTTAAAATGCAAGCAAAGCAGTCCAAATTCAGATCCGACGCGCACCTGGATGCAGCTCCGCTGAAGTTGGTGGAGTTGTAACCTACTTAGACTTGACTTCTCTGCCCCACCCTTATGTCAGGGCACCTAGTCTCATTATGATCTAGTAACTGCTGCTATCTGGCATACAGTGTCTTGGGATTTGATAGCTCTGTAATTAGTTTGCAGAAGTTGCAAGGTTTAAAACAAAAAATCAGTGTGATATTTTTCTTTTTTTCCTACCCTTGTTTATTCTTGCATCCAAATGGATTTGGAAATAATAGCTAGCATTCTGCCTGGCTGAGTGAATGGGGAAACTGTGCACTGTACAGAAGTTTTGTTTGAGGTGCAGAGTGGCGCCTGTGGCTGTTACCCTTCATTTTGGCTTGGGTTAGGTTTGGTTGTTGCCACCCACTTTGTCAGACTGGGAAACAGGAAGGTAGCCTTGGGTTTCAGCAGGTTTCTGACTCCTCCCTCCCCACTGCCTCCTCCTAAGGCAATTCTTGTCTGTCGTTCCAGCATAGTTGAGAGGTTTTGAATCACCTTGCTGCTGTTTGCATGCTACCTCTCAGTTTCCATGCAGCTTAAGTGTTGTCAAAAGTGTTAATATGAGAGTGACTCAGCGGATCAATGAAAACAGCATGAGTTGAGCTTATGGACAATCGGTATCTCTCTTTCTCTCTCCCTCTCTCTTTTTCCAGGCAGACTAAAAGAGGTGATGTTGTCCTGTAACAGCTGCCAGTAAACATGTTTATTGGATGTCAGCCTAATCGCATTCGGTAGCTTTCTCTCTACCTGTGCTCTGTGCTCTCCACCAGGCTAATTTCCATGGCTAGGAGCAGTTGCTGAATGCCAGGTAGCTGTTGCAGCCTCTAGTTGTTTTCAGCCTTGGCTAGGCGATCTTGGTACTTTCCTGGTCTTTGCAGTATCTGAATACTATAAATCATTAGTAGATTTGCAAGAATCCTGTGAGTTGGAGAAGCACTTATCCCTATTTCATGCATAAGCCTGTGCTATGCCTCAGTTATCTAACTGAAGTTATTTCTTAGGCTGTTAAGTCTCTTTTAGAGTGGGGAATCGCATGCAAAGGCCAGTATCCTAGTCTGTAGACTTTCTTCCTTATGTCCCCTGGCCTGTGCCTGGTAAGTCTGCTTGATGCAACTGAAACAAAATGTGTGTAGGCTTGAGACAGGACTGTGTGCACCTCCGAAGAGCACCCACAGGAAGGGCAGGCAGTGGTTAGGACCTCAATGTGGGCTTCAAGAAACCTGAATTCATATTTCTGTCTCCCACAGATTTCCTGTGTGGAGCTGAATGTAGCTTCTCCTTGCCTTCCTAAATACAGTGGGGATAACAGTACTGCCCTGCCTTACAGGGTTGCTGTGGTGAACGTGTGTTAAAGACAGAAGTGATCAGATAACTCAGACCAGGAGGTATGATGAGTGTATAAAATAGATTTCTGAGTGCTCTATAATCTGGATGCTGTAATAAAGCTTCATCTAGGTAGTGGAGAATTGGCCCTGACAAAACAAGAAGCCATCCAGTTAGCCCTTCTCTCTGACACAGATGGTGGGGCTTATTGGACTAGAGCGTTATGGCTGTGCAGTGTGAACAGGGAAGGGGAAACTCTTTGCAGTGATCCAACCTGGCCTGCAAATTATTTCTACCCGTTAGAGCAACTGCACTTGTATAAACAATGTTTTGAATTCAAATGGACATTTCTAGGCTTCTTGCTTGTGTTAAAGGACTCCCCTAAGTCCCTGCCTCTTGCATTAGGACTCCCCTGAATCCCTGAATTGGAGAGTTATGGAACAGATTGTCAGCTAAATGCAGGCTTCTTCTTGCCGGTCATGTTAACATGCTGTTACCACTGGAGAAAAAAACGGTGCTTACTGCAGAGTGCTTTTAGTTCAGCTGTTACAGGGTATTATCTGTCCTACGTATACTATGATGGATCACACTGGCGCAGCTGGCACCCAAACATGCTTAAAACACGATTCTGTCTTTTTTTTCAGTGGAGTCAGTACATCATTGTCTGTCCTAGGCTTGCTTACATGGTTGGGTCTAGCCTACCCTACAGTGCTGGGGAACAGACACCTTGCAGATGGGTCACCTGGGCCCAAATACTTACAGTGTAGACCAGCGGTTCCCAAACTCTCACAGATTGCACACCACCAATTTAAAATGATACAACCTTAAGTACTACCAGCAAATTTTTGTCATATAAAGTAATTATAATAAATCTGTTAATACGTACCGCTGACAGGTTGTCTGCGTACCACTGGTGGTATGCATCCCACAGATTGGGAACTGCTGGTGTAGACAACACACTTCCCTTTACCTCTCCGGTAGCAGCAAATTTGACTGCAAACCAGTTAGCTGTCCAAAGGAGGCTGGCAAGTACCTTTGTTATTCAGTAAACAACTCTATAATTAAACTGGAACATGCATGTGATGCTCTTTCCACGTAGCATTTTCAGAAAGCTCCACAGAACAAGGTGGTTACAGATTTCTTAACAGGTTTGTGGTAAGGAGGGACTCTTAGTGCTGGCATATCTGTTTGCAGCTGGGACTTTAAAAATCCTTGACATTGATTTTCTTCCCTTCTGGTAAGATTGTGGCGAGGAGCTGGTTCCATGTCCAGTAGGAGCCTCTGAAGATCAAGGAGTTCGTAGTCTTGAATTTTGAAGGAAAGTGATAGTCCTTCTTTGGCAAAGCGATGTATGGTGATAGGATCTGCTGACACTGCCAGTGGCCTGATTACACCTGAGATCTTATTGCAGCACATCAATGCCATCCTTTCTAGGAAATACTTAGGGTGAGCACTTGAGGTCAGATCACCTGTGTTAGTCGAATGAAGAGATTTTTTGGATGCTCTGCCTTTGAAAGAACTTGTGTTAAGTTTGGTAAATAAGACAGTTATTTGTGGGAGCTTGGACTTGCACAACAAGGCATGAGGACAGAATTTAATCTGGTGAACTGCACTGGTGAGGTGTGTCACAGATTTTGAGGCTGGCTGCTTCAGTACTGTGCAAACTGGAGTTCAAAAAAGGGGGAGGAAGGCACGTTCGGTTCAGCGTGGGCAAAGGAGGAACAAAGCAGCCAGGTGCCCAAGACAGCTTCCATATACTGGGCAGCCTGTGGTTGCTGCTGTTTTTCCCATCTCCCTCAAGCTGGCACCCAGAGTGGCTGCCCTGGTCACTCTGCCATAGTTATGCCATTGAACATGGGCCAGAGGAGCTAAATGCTGGGAGAGCAAAAGCAGCATTAGAGATGTCTGCCAGCAGAATGACACAAGCAGCCTTTTTAAATGAAGCCCATGTTGGACTCCCCGAATGTTTGGTGTGTTGAGTGCAGGGAGGTTAAGCAGCTTTGAGATGTATAGCTTGTGTGTGTGTGTGTGTGTGTAATATAGATATAGATCTCTCTCTCTCTCTCTCTCTCTCTCTCTCTCTCTCTCTCTCTCTCTCTCTCTCTCTCTCTCTATATATATATATATCTATCAGCAACCAAAAATGAGTGTTCTGGAGCTGTTTGACTCCTCATGGCATAAAAGAGGTCTGGAGCTGGCTTTTCTAGGTTTGAATAAAGCTGCTGCTTCTTGAGCTCTATCCCTCTGATGGAAACACTCCT